AAAAAAAAAAAAAAAAAAAAAGCAGATTGCAGCAACCTTTTTTAATTAGAAGAAAGTTAGACAGGGAAACTTGTTACCCAGCTGGATGATGTCTGGCTAGGAGCTGTCTGTTTCCATGAATTGGGCTAGTGTGTAGAAGAGGAACTCTCTTGACTGCTTCCAACTCCATGTCACAGCCACAGTAGCTGGGTAACAGCTGAGGCTTGCATGAACTTGTAGGATTTGGGTCAAGGTCAAGATATGAACTGATCTGAGAAATGAAGAGACTTTTTAGAGGGTGTTGATTTGGATCATAAAATATAAAGCAGAGGCCTGTCATTCCTGGGGAACTTGAGGGAAAGTGTTCTGCAGCTGCGTACAATCACTATGATTCATGCTAGTGGACCAGCTTTCAATACCCTGTTTGGAAAGGGGCTCTTTGCAGGGACCCTTATTGACTTCAGTAAACAGGAAGGAGAAGAGAGGCCTGCCTTATTTTTTCTGACGATGGGCTAAGAAGAGGCTAGAGCTTTGATGCCCAGGAGGAAGCAGAGAGAATGAAACCACTTGCCTATTTGAGAAAACTGGGGAGCCAGTAAGGCCCTGCTACAGGAAACTTGTCAGGCTGAGGGAAGAGATGAGGCTTCCCTCCCCCCCTTACTGATCTTCACTCTTGGGCCATTACAGTGGCCAGGCTTTAGGGCAGAAAGTTTGCTTTCCCAGCAAGACTGTATCCCTGACGTAGCTTTGGCTAGCTACAGAGAATGAGGTGGGAGTCCTCCTTCCCAGCAGTCATTTCAGGGTTATGTCTCCTTGTGTTTCCTGGAATACTGTAGTCTGGGACCTTTTCCCAATCCTCCATCCTCTTTCCCTTCCAAACATTGTTACTATTCTTGAGAATCTCCTAGTATATCTTGGGACAAATGCCTCCTTTTCAGGAAGGCTTTTGATTATGGACTGAAGCATGGGCAGAAGAGAATGAAGTTCAAAGCAAGACTTGCACTTCTACTCTTTTCTCCCTCCCGCAGATCCTAGGGGCTGCTGCTCTCAGTTGCACTGAATCTGTTTAATGTCCTCTAATGCAGCATGTTGCCAGCTATGCTACTGTTTATTTAGATAATCAAGGCATTTGTGTTTGGCAGTCAGCAAGGTCTGGTTGTTGAAGTGTGTGGGGTAAGGACTTGGGATTCTTGAGACCTACTCTCAGTTGCCTTGTTATGTAACATGATCCAAACACTTCATCTTTCTCTGTTTCTTTCTTTCTTTTTCTCTTTTAAAAAGAAGATTCTGTAAGGTCCTAGGAAAGTTACCATATGAAAGCAGTTTTTTTGTTCTGCAGTAGAATATCACAAATTTTTACCAAAAGATGGTCATGTCTTTTCAGGAAAGGCTTTATTTCAAAGACTCTTGTCATGAGAGCTAAGGCTTCATTAGACAAAATGCACCATGGTGTACCCTTGGTAACATTTAGTCAGCTGTTAACATAGTGAACAATTACATCCAAACTCTCAAAATACACTTTTGAGAGGCAGAATCTGTACCTCTTAATGTGTGTTCAATTACTGCATTTTGCAAATTTAGTAAGTAAAACCTCATGGGTCTCCCAGTCATTATTTTGAATTGGCAAAGTTCTGCTGAGTTAACACTACTGCCCTCTAAAATGTGGAGGCAAATGGCTGTGCTGATTGGGAAATTCTGCAATCACTAAAGGTTTCTTCAGTGTGTGTTGTGGGGTCCTATGAAATATTGTGGCTCTGCTCTGAAACTTTGAACAGCTTATTGTCATTGTTACATATGAGCCAATAGCCTTTTCCTTGGGGTGTTGCTTCCTGTGCTGCTAAGTAAAAGTGTAGAGCATTAACCTTTTTGAAAGCTAGTTTGAAATGATTAACCCTCTTCCTGTCACATTCATGCTGCAGATTTGAGGAGTGTTTATGTTTTGGGAGGAGGAGAGGAGGAAGAAAAGACGCACACAAGTATTGCTGAAATTTCTCATAGCCTTTCATCTTCATTGGAGAAAGAAACATTCAATACCTCTTACTAGGTGTTCTGCTTTTGATGACCCCCCCCCCCACCACTTGGAATCAAATGGCTTTATTAGCCACAGTGGAAAGGCTGAAACAGCAAATCTTTGGTAAATGTAGAGGAACTCTGACATTCGCTTGTGTGACTTTCTCATCCATTTGTTAGGATGACTTGAGTATGGAAGTCAGGGATTTGCTAACATGCTGAGCTATATTGGAAGTGAGTGTATTTTGATCCCCAAAGGGTGTTGGTCCTTTGTTATAATTTGCTTTAACTGGGTAGTTGATGTGAGAGGAGCCTTTTGGGCTTCCAGGGATTATGGTTTATTGCCTGGCAGATATAGAGACTGGCCACTAGCTATTACCTGCTGCTTCATTTCTGAACAACAGGAAAAACCCTCTAGCATAGAGAACACTCTGAAAAGAGAGAAGAGGATTGTATGACAAGCATCATGGAATAGGGAGAAGGTGGGGGAAGGACATGTCATTGGATTCATTCTTTTGGGCTTCCGAGGAATGGCCAGGAGACTTAAGTTTGCAGTTACAGACCAAGCCATACTTTCAACTTGCAATTTGGGGCAGTTCCAAGCTCCCTGGATATTGTGCTTGAGCATACAAAGGAAGTAGCATATTCTAAAGCTCTCTCCTTGTACATCATCGCTTACTTTTATGAAGATCTTGTATTGCAGCTGTGCAAAAAGACAACAGAAGAGATGAAGACCCATTCTGGCTCACTCTCCACATCCTTGTTCGATGAGACAAGCTAGCCCCAAACAGCTTATAAGAGGAATGGCTTTCTGAAGGGGCTCAGTCTCTTCAGAAAGAAGAGACTGGGGGAGGGAGGGATTGGGGCTGGGACAAGGTGCCCAGCCAGGATGGGGGAAGGGGACAGGGGGTGCAGGATGTGGGTGCAACAGCTCTCGGAGTAGGGGCTCTGCCCTGCTGCTGCTTGCTGAGCTGGGGCGTGGCTCGCTCCGGACAAGGGGGCAAGTGGCACCAGTGCATAGCCCCTGCTCCCAGCGCTGCCATACCCACCACCCACCCATGTTCCCCTGTGTTGGGTGGCAAGAGGCAGCAGCACCCGTCTCCCAGCTCCGGGTGGCAAGAGGCAGCAGCACCCGTCCCCCAGCTCCGGGTGGCAAGAGGCAGCAGCACCCGTCCCCCAGCTCCAGCTGGCAAGCGGCAGCAGCGCAGTTCCCACTCCCAGCTCTAGTAGTGGGGGCTCTGCTCTGCTGCTGCTTGCCCAGCCGGCATGGGGTGGGAAGGAAGCACGGGATGTGGGTGCGACAGCGCTGGTAGCGGGGGCTACGCCTAGCTGCCTGCCGCTTGCACAGCCAGCACAGTGGAGGGGGCACAACGCAGGTGCGGCTTGTTTTGGGCGGAAGAGGGCAAGTGGCAGCAGGGCATAGCCCCTGCTTCCAGCCCTGCTGCACCCACATCAGCGCTGGGAGCAGGGATTCTGCCCTGCTGCCACTTGTCAACCAGCACCCCTGGTGGGGGGGTGGTGTGGCATGGCATAGCACGGGATGCAGGTGTGGCGGCACTGGGAGTGGGGCCTATGCCCTGCTGCCACTTGCTCCCTTCTGCCCAGAGTCAGCTGCACCTGCATTATGCCCCCCTGTGCCAGCAGGGCAAGCAGCAACAGGGCAGAGCCCCCGTTCCCACTGATTCCTTGCCTGCATCCCATGCTCCCCTGCCCCCCTCCCCAACTAATGTTCCCTCCTCGCCTCAGGTGGGTAGCTTGTCCCAGTCCCAGCCCTGATCCCTCCCTCTCCTGTGCCCCTTCCCTCCCTGCAACCCCAACAGACTTACCAGCTGGAGGCAGCTGTCAGCTGCTTGTTTAGTCTATGGCCAAATCTCCGAAGTAGGGCCAAATCTTTTGGATCTGATTCAGCCAAATCGAAATGGGACAGTGATTCGAATCTCTGAATCGAATCACTGTCCTCCAAATCGTCTGAATCCGAAGTGAATACTTGCCGCTTCACATAAGCCTACTATAAAGGTTTCACTTTATTAATATGGCATTGTGGGGGGAGAGGAATGTGTCTCGTTTGTTCATTTTGAATCAATCAAATGCATGCATCATCGGAGTGAAGACACTGCAACTGGCCAGGGAAGACCTGAAGCCTCACGAGGAAAAGATACTGCTAAAAGTTTTTAAACTTAGATCAACAAGTTATATGCTGGAATCCATGGGGAATCCCCATCTTGAAAAAGTAGCTTTTTTTTATATGTTTTGTATGCCAAATCAGACAGGCATGGGTGACCTCTCGTAATGGGCAAGGAGGAGAGGGGAACCTATAGGTTAGCACAAGATAAAACTAGTTAGCCTCTGGTTGTGTCTAACAGTTTTAATTTTTTTCCCTGAAATGGTTTTGTACCAGTTCTCTTTTATTGCTGTTGAGTCAAAAATCTTGGATCGTGAAGGCTTAAAATTAGCTGGTGAGCTTAACTCACCTGCTTGTGCACACGCACAAGACTAGATCAGTGTTGTCAAAAGTAGCTCAAGATTTGCCTCTCCT